TTCACTTAAATCACTTATATTCCATTCCCATTTACAGCAAATATATCCTTATCAGTTATATTTATTAGACAAATATTGTTTTTTTTTTAATTATATTTATTAAATAAATTAAAATAACAATAATTATGCTTTTTCCAAAACCTAAAATTATTATAAAAAATTTTTGGTGATCTTTTTTGGTGGGCATTACAACCCGTCTTATTGGGTAAAAGATTTTGCAACGAATGTACGTACGTACGTACGTAGTAAATACAAATATTTGAAGAATCACAAGTCACAAATTTTATGTGGCGTATTATGAAGAATTGCAATTTACAAATTTTTATGTAGCTAAACTATATTTATAATTTGACATCTGTACATACGTACCAAGTTAATTGACTAAATTGTGGATCTTTAAAATGAAAGATAAATATTAGAATTAAAACAAATAGTATTTTAACACAACAGATAATAAATGATTTCGGGGTCATTATGATAATAAATCTTATCTAGGATTTATGGGCTCTATGGAATCTATGGATCTATGAGAAATCTTACAACAATTCGAATTTAACCTGGAACTCTTGCGTACACGTACGTACGTACGTACGTACGTATGTCAATATACATGAATAGTACCACATGGCTTCTACAATAACAAAAAGGCAATGAATGCCTAATGTGATACGGCAATGAATACCTAATGTAATACTAACGCTAACAATCACATAGTCTAGATCTCCAAATAGTTTGGAGATGTATGCATACGTAGCACAAATAATAAATATATATATAGAAGTGCATAGCACAAATAATAAATATAGAAATTGTTATTCAAAATTTACATTCATATAATAAATAGAAATCGATTTGTATAACATTCATTGTATTGATTGAGTTTTCGATAACGACAAACCAACTTTATAATTTTATGTATCGGTATGTAACTTGAGCATTATGTAACGCCAAATTGGTAATAATCATAACACTACTTCAATTCATTGTATAAATGATAATCGATCGTTTTTTTACAATATATGCAAAAGGTAATTAATGTTTCATTGTGAATTTTTACTTTACCAAATTACACATATGAGATGTTTCATAGATGAAATAAAACTAAAATTTTAATTTTGTTGATTTTTTTTTTACGCCTATTACAGTATTAAAGTACATATTAAATTTCATTGATGATAGCTATCGCGCCAAATGATGCTTGCAGATGGGTTACATCATGCAAGTATAATTATTAGTAGAAAATGATGTCTAAATGCGTAATAATAAACAAATGTAAGTGGCGGGAATTCTTTTTTAAAAAAATCCGATAATCTAAATTAATCTATTTTATTATGTATTTATGTATTTATGTATTTATGTATTTATGTATTTATGTATTTATGTATTTATGTATTTATGTGTTTATGTGTTTATGTATTTATGTATTTATGTATTTATGTATTTTATGTATAGTATTTTTATGTATTTAAAAGTATTAAATTCAATTATAAATACCAATTTTTTTTATTTAATATGTATTAAATTCAATTATAAATACCAATTTTTTTTATTAATATGTATTAAATTCAATTATAAATACCAATTTTTTTATTTAATATGTTTTAAATGCATTAAAAATTCGATTATAAAGATACTTTACGGCAAATTAATACATAAATGGGAGTACCCCTAGTCATGGTGTCACTGTGCTATGGTGATTTGTTTATGGTATTAAATCCGGATTAAATCCGGATTTATTAATTCAGACATATAACTGTATAATGAATAACGATATGTAAATAATGATAATAATGGATGGAAAAGAAGCACATGTGTGTTGGCGCTGCAATTTGATGAATTTTGTTTTGTTTATAATAGTGTAATACCTTCGGAAAAATTCAATGTCCGAAGATATAATAATGAGGAAATTCGCTTGGTAGCGTTTTGTTTAAAATTAATCATTTTTTCTTTTTTGACAAAAAAAACCATGGTATGAGAGACCATCCAATATAATCCAACTTGTCATTTAGCATGGGACAACTAGCTAGTAAACTTGATTTTTTAAAACTACGCCGCTTTTGCGGTGGTGGCAACAAAGCCGCATCCACCAATACAACTAATACCTCAGATGAAGAAGGATTTCGTATCGTTGGTGGTAGAAAATTTCATGATCCAAATACTATTAAATACCCTTATCCTGTTGACGATGAAGAATCAGATAGATTACATTTACAACATTTTTGGACGAGATATATTTGGCAGAGCAATTTTTCTGCACCTATTGAAAACCTTTTAAATTATCATGAACCTACTATACTCGATATTGGGTATGTTTAGTTTTAATGTATATTTTGTAAATAAGAACGGAATTAAGACTGGAATTAAGATTTTAAAGTGTCCATAATGGCTTATAATAGCTAATAATGACTTATGACTTATGATGCAATCTTAATAATCCTATAGTCTAACGTAGAATCCTATAGTCTGACGTAGAATCCTATAGTCTGACGTAGAATCCTAAAGTCTGACGTAGAATCCTAAAGTCTGACGTAGAATCCTATAGTCTGACGTAGAATCCTATAGTCTGACGTAGAATCCTAAAGTCTGACGTAGAATCCTATAGTCTGACGTAGAATCCTAAAGTCTGACGTAGAATCCTATGGTCTGGCGTAGAATCCTAAAGTCTGACGTAGAATCCTATGGCCTGGCGTAAAGATTATCGCTTCATAGTTTATGGTAAAGGTTGAAATCTAATAACATTTCTTTTATATTCAGGTGCGGTTCGGCATCCTGGTCATTCGAAATGTGTACTACGTATGTATTATATTTTATAAATATTCTATATGTCTTATTGTATATATTCAATATACTTAAATATACTTGTCTCAATTATCATTTTTTAGTTATCCCAATGCTAATATTGTTGGTCTAGACATAACAGTACAACAACCGACGCAAATTAAACCTTCAAATTTCACTTTCGTTAAAGCAAATGTCTTGGATGGTTTACCATTTGATGATAATACATTTGATTATGTGTTTCAACGATATATGATTGGTGGATATCCTAAAGAAAAATGGCCATTTGTTATTAATGAATTGGTCAGAGTCTTAAAACCAGGTGGATTCATAGAGGTATGCTTATTCAAATTTTAATGCTAGTTAGTATTGCACAAATTCTTTATATAAATATATATATTTATTTATGATTTAATGTAATTAAAAAAAAAGTTGTTGGAGCCTTCCATGATGATTGACATAGGCCCTGCTACTCAGCGCATTGTTAATGCCCGTATGTACTTTTATTGTTATTCAACATGTATTTAATTTTTGCAATCATTTCACCGATAAGTAAATAATGTTATAAATTTTTACGTTATGCGATGTCGGTTAGATGGGTGCAATATGAACTACGGACCCTTAATTTTGTTTATTTATATGCTAATCTACAATATTCTATATAATATTCTATAATAAAGAAATTGCAGCAATGGGTAAACGAGGTACTGATTCAGAAACAAGTAAAAAACTAAAAATATACCTGGAAAATCAAGGTTCACTTTTTATTATTTCATTATACACATTATATTATCAAGTTAAATTATTGACAATTACGTATTCTCTTATTTAGGAGAGTTAGAAAACATCACAAAAGAAGTAAGAGCTTGCTATCATGGTGAAAGAGCTAACACCCCTGGAATTGGCAAAGCAGTAATGCTTCACTTTTTATAAATTTTAGAATAAATTATTTGGATGTTCTATAGAATAGGTGGGCAAACTCCGCAAACTCCGCAACTCCGCTATTAAAAAATTAATGATTACTAATCA